AAGGTATTAAAACGTTCATTGGGTTTGGGGTAAATCTCTCACGTTGTGAATGAAATTAAATATGCTTTGTATAACTATTAAAATTCAATAATGTGGGGAAAACATTTGCAAATCATATATATGACAAGGGATTAATATCCAGAAAACATAAAGAACTCCTACAACTCAACAATAAAAAAAATTGCAAAATGGGCAAAGGACTTGAATAGACGTTTCTCTATACTAAAGATATGCATATGACCAATAAGCACACGAAAAGATGCTCAACATCTTTAGTTATTAAAGAAATGCAAGTCAAAACCAAATCATTTCACACCCATTAGGATGGCTATAATTAAAAAAAACAAAAAACAAATGGAGGGCATGGCGATGGAGAAAATGGAACACTCATGCATTGCTGATGGAAATGTAAAATTGTGCAGCTGCTATGGAAAACAGTTTGGTGGTTCCTCAAAAAGGTAAATAGTATTAGCATATGATCCAGCAAGTCCACTGCTAGGTACATACCCAAAAAAATTGAAAGTAAGGACTCAAACACATACTTATATACCAATATTCAAAGCATCATTATTCATAATAGTTAACGGGTTGAAACAACCCAAATGTCTATCAACAGATGAACAGGTAAACAAAACTGTACATACATACAATGGAATCATATTCAGCCATAAAAAGAAATGAGGTACTGATACATGCTACAACATGGATGAACCTTGAAAACGTATTAATACTAAGTGAAATAAGCCAGACACAAAAAGACAAATATTGTATGATTCTGCTTATATGAGGTACACAGAACAGACAAATTCATAAGACAAAGTAGAATAGAGGTTACTGGGGTCTGGGGGAAAGGGAGCCTGAGAGTTATGGTTTAATGGCTACTGAGCTTCTGTTTGGCATGATGGAAAAGTTTTGGAAATGGATGGTGGTGACAGTTGCACAACATTGTGAATGTACTTAATGCCACTGAACTGTACACTTAAAAAATAGTACATTTTATGATATGCATATTTTACCACAATAAAAAATTCCATTTTAAACCTTATATAAAAATCACTCAAAATTGAAGTTCATTCCTAGTCCCCTTTTGCCGCTTCGTACAATGATTTAATGTGTAGATTCAAGTTAAGTTAGTGACTCTAACCAGAACAATGACAACATGGCATGGTTAAAAGATCAGGTAGACAGACCTAGGTTAGAATACTGGCTCTACCACTAGCTAGCTTATTGCATACTTAGAACAAGGCCTAACATTTAGAAGTTCCTCAATAAACAATGAAGTTAGCTGCTATTCTTGTTAGTCTTGACTACTATACCAAAACCACATGGAAAGGAGCAATTACAGATAAATTTACAACTTTAATACATCAAATAAGTGAACGCTGGAAGACAAACCAGTGTGGGGAAAAATATTTGCATGAATATGATTAAGAGTCAGTATCCCTAATATGTAGACCTCAAACCAAAAGATGAGAGAATAGACAGGCAGGGAGAGCAGGAAGGTTACTTTGGATTACAGGGTGCGCCAGGCAGGGTCTCTCTGAGAAGGCCACACATGAACGAAGACATGAAAGGTATAAAGAAGCTGAAGTGAAAAATCCGGGGTTAGAGTACTCTGGTTGGAGGTAATAGCAAAAGCAAAGGCCACAACATAGAAGGAATTTGGAAGGTTTGAGGAACAGAGAAAAAGAAAACCAGAGAGCCTAGACTAGAGAAACAGGGAAACGGTAGCAAGTGAGATTGAAGAGAAGACAGAGGCTGGATTTCACAGTCCTAGTAAGAATATGGGACTATGACTCTAACCTCAAAGAGAAGCCATTTAAGCAGAGAAGTGGCATGATCTGGTTTACTGTGGAAAAGATCATTCTGCTTGCAATGTGGAGAATACGGAATAGGAAGGCAGAGTGGAAGGAAGAACAGTTGGGAAGGTATTTTAATAATTTAAATTAGAGATGATAGTATCTTAGATTCAGTATAGTAGCAGTGGCAATAGAAAAACTATAGAAATTCAAGTTGCATTGGCTAACAGGATAGAAAATATTCAACTGTTTCATTAACTCAAAAAAACTTAGTTAAAATTATACAATTTCCCCTATCAAATTAGCAAAAGTTGAAAATGGATAATGCGTAATCCTGATGAATATGTAGTTGAGCAAGGCACTCATAAACCTCTGACAAGCAATTTGCTATCTTATGAAAAGCCTTAAAAAAAACCTTAGTTTTTAACTCACTAACTAGCACATAGTAAATCTTATCGTTGAATTAATTAATTCAATATTTAGAAAATCTTAAAGAGAAAATTAGGATTTAGGATTTGTGCTCAAGGATGTAACTATAGCATGTTGTACTTGCTAAAAAATGAGGAACAATCTACATATTCAACATTTAAGGAGTGGCTGAATTACAGTTTATGATAAAGTACTAAGCAACTTTTAAGATCATGTTCATGGTTTCAAGATATTGGAAAATGCTAACATTATATAACCTTACAAAATTAACAAAGAGAACAAATAGTACTAGAGTTTTTGTTTTGTTTTCATGCTGATAAGTTTTAATATGAGAAATGAAGCTAGAAAATTAGCAAATTGAGTAGTAAAAATTTAATATTCACTAACCTAGTCTAGAATCAAAACTCAATACAGCTGCTTAAAAAACTTACATGCTCAACCCATTAAATACTGTCTGTATCTTACAATGTTAGTTTTTTGTTACCCTTGGTACTAAATAAGGAAGCAGGGAAGTTTCAGTTTGGTGGTTGTCTTAGTAATTTAAGAATAAACATTGAGCAAGTTCAAAGCCTATTCGTCACTCGGAGTAGCACAGTACGTGGCGCAGAATAGGAACTCAAATATTTTTGAGTGAATATCACCAAAAATAAATCTTTCAGTTCCAACTTAGCACCAAAGAAATTTAAAACCTCAAAATGAAAGAGGTACATAAAAAGTAATAGTGATAATAATTTATAAAATTTGGAGTGTCTACAATGTATCAGACACTAATAAGCACTTTACAGGCCTCATCTTTAATCACCACAATACTCCTCCTCTGAAAGTACTACCTTTCATACTTTAAAACCAGGAAACAGGTTTAAAAACGTTAAGGAACTAGCTAGAGGTCACACTGCAACAAAGCTTGAACTCAAGTTTGAACTCAGTTCTCTGGCATCTAAACGCAGAACTACAGAAAGCACACGTTTCTTTCCAAAGATCAGACTTCCCAGTTTTTCCTCTCTGCTTCCCCTACAGTCCTATTTCGTAACCAGTAACTTCTACCTTGAATTGGAGTTAATCTTTCAAGACCCATCTCTCAAGAGCCCTCCCTGCTCAGCTCCCTCCCCTCCCCCGCTGAGACATCCTCCAGGGTACAGGACCGAGGCCAGGCTTCTAGGTGACTGCACACTCCGCACTGGGGCTTGGCACTAGGCCGGGAGCTCGCCCCTCTCCCTAACTTTGTCGATACCTTTTGAGTTTGATTTACAGCCTTGAGACTCCCAGCTCAGAAACTGGGCCCTAGGAGGCGGCTCGGCGCCGGGTGAGGGAAGTCCCCGCCTGGAGGGGCCGCCGGGGCGGCGCCCTGGGGCGGTTTCCAGGACAACCAAGGGCTTCCTCCTCCCGCCCCGCTCCCCGTCTCCGCCCCCGGCGTCTCGCCGCTCCGCCCCTCCCTGGCGCCGGTGCTTGGACAAGAGGCCCTGAGCGACTACAGAGAGGCCCGCGCGGTCGGCTCTCACCTCTCAGAGCGTGGTGCATGCCGCCCACGCCGCTGTACAGCTCCAGGACCCGCAGGGGCTCCATCCCCGCGTCGCCGCCGCTGCGTCCTCAGAGCTAGGCCTGCCGGTCCTTCCGCTCCTCCTCCCTCTGCGTCCGCGCCATCCCTTGGCTTCTGGTTCCGCGGCTTTTCGGTTCCCCCCTCTCCTGCCGTCCTGAGTTCAGTCTTACCGGGGCGGCGCGGGGCCTGGGGGCTGGCAGGGGTCGGGACGAGGACAAAGGACAGAAAACAATAAGGCCTCCTCAGTGAATATCAGCCACTCAAGCCTAATTTACGCTCCGTCTTCCTTATTTGGTGTTTTCCCCGGGCCTTGTGTGGAAGAGAAAACTGGAACTCGGTGTAAGAGTGAAAACTGCCTTCCCTTCCAGGTGAATTAACACTGGTTAGAATCCAGAAAAAGTCATTTTTCAGGCAGGCTGCTTTTCTGTCCCTTGGAAGTGTTCGAACATGGCTTCGACTAGTGTTGAGCACATACCGCGTGCGTGGTGGTGTGCCTGCAGAGGGGTGATGGAGCTAAATCAGTCCAGCCTCTTCCCCTAGAGAAGGTCCCAGAATTACAAGGACAAACACAAGTCCACGTGCAGCAGAGCCCCGAGTGCGTGCTAATAATACAGAGGATGGTTGCAGTGACTATCACCTAGGGCTATTTATGGGCCTCCAAGTGCTAGGACCTTGATGCTCCAGGATGGCCCAATGACCAATTGTTAAAGGCTCTATTGTAAACTAAGATAAAGTAGCCATATGGAGGAGAGGAAATGTTCTCATTGTGAAGAATGTCCTTCTGTTTGTTCCCAGCACTGCCACAGGTTAACTTTTGTTAGGAATTCAGGCGTACCACTTGTAATAACAATAACCGATTTGTTAGAAACTATGCCTGCCTGCTAATGTAATGCCATTAAGTAAAGTATGACTACTGTATCATTTTGATGTGGTCTGTGAAATTAACTTTTTAAATTGTAAATGTGTACTGGCCTTTAAATGCTTTGGTTTTTATTAGTCACCGATTTCAGATAAGAAGGGGTATGTGGTAGAAAGATACCAGAGAACTGAGTTTTAGCCCTGGCATTAACTGGTTGTGTGACTTTGGGACAAACCTCTTTCCTCATCTGTAAAGTAAAAGGGGAAGGAAGACAGGGAGATAATTGCTGAGTGACAAGATTCCATGGCTGAAATTAGAATTTGAAAAAATGAGTCCTAATTTGGCCACATGTTAATTATCTGTTCAAATTGAAATATCTAAAAAGAAGACATTCATGTTTTACTATCTGCGTTAAGCAAATGTACTCTTAAACCAACTCTACTTACAGAAACTATATACACACTGACATACATAATGCATGAAACAAATTTTTCTAATATTTATTACAAAATATTGGTACCACAAATTAATGAGTACATAAAATATAAAAGGAGCTATATAGTCACAGTGATTTATATATAGTCAACAACCAACATACTAAATCTAGAATCTGTTCAGCATTAGTGCTATAAATCGAAATAAATATGATGAAGGATCTTATTCATAGGGGAGAGACAGTACATACACATGTGGCAGAGTTAATGAAAAATAACCAACCTCCTGAGAGGAAGGGGGCTAAAACCCCACTCCTACCCAGGCTGATGACAAACTTTTCACTGGTACTTAAGGATCTTCACAATGTAGCCCCAAGCTTACTTTCCTTCCTTAACTTTGGTTTCTCCTCTTCTTGAGCTCTGCTATAAACTAAACCGCCCAGCAGTCCTCAAACATACCCTTTCCTCCCCCACTTCTCTGCTTATGTTCCTTGCTTGTGTTCTTTACCTTGCCTAGAAATGTCCTGGCCTCCTTCAAAACCTATACTTCATACGGAACCTCACTTCTAGACTCCCGGGATAGAAATCCTGACTCAGTTCCTCAATTTCTCTCATCTTCTGAAATACAGATCTCACCTGTTCCTGTCATTCGATCCTTTAAGTTCTATCGAGCCTGGTGTTTCACCTCATATGTGCCACGTCTTTAAGTATTATTTCCTCTCTTAAGCTTATTACGTGTGATAATCACTTCAAGAATAAAAGCTTTCTCCATAATGATAATTTACAACTATCTCCATGGAAGCAGCTGTGTATAAACCCCCTCAGATTATGTATGCACTTTCTTCCAATCACTGGCACAAATTATGTAATTTAGGGGAGAGTCGGGACGGTTGGCTGGAGATGGCATGGTAAGGAGTAGTTAATTAGGAAAGTGGGATAAGCAGTAAGAAAATATAATATTAATGCTTTTTCCCAAAGCAAATCCTGACTGTTAATAAGGGAGAAAAAAGCTCTCTAGTACTGTAGTTTCCTCAATGATATGTCCAATAGCGCTTATATTCTAATTAGAGAAACTCAGCACCCTTTTTGAAAATACAAATGTATATCAAAACATGGACTTTAGTATACTCGGTGCATTTTCTTGTAAAACAGAAAATGCATTTGTAAAAAGAAATCAAAATGTCAGTTCATACCTGAAAAATAAAGGCACATATGAAGCATATCAGAAATAATTAAGGGGCACATCACAATACTAAGGGTTATATTAAAATAGTAATAGCATATACTCAATTATTGAAGGGCTCGTTGCATAACTTAGAATCTAATGACATTTTCTTCTTCTCCTACCTCTTATTTCACTGATCATTAATATCTAACAAAATTAAGTAAAGTTTGCCAAGTGTTTAAAATACCTTTTGCAATCGCCTTAGAGTTTCCATGATCCATTCTTTATTCCTCAGTGAAACATGGTTTGGATTCCTATACAGGCACATCTACAGGGAGAGAACACTCTGCTTATGGCAATTGCAGTGCATCCTGGTTTTACACAGAAAAAGAATGGTCTTTATCAATCGCATGGAAAATAAAAAAGTCACCATATGGGAATAAATTGACAATGAATGTCCTAAAGAGAGGAAATTATATTCAGAAGAAATTCGAATTCGAGGGGCCCACAGAGCCCGTCTACCCCTCGTGAGCTCCCACTTGTTAAGAATGCTTTCCACCATGTTCTTGATCTGCCAGCACTAAGCCAAGGCTTGCAAGCAGCTAACCAGGTGCCCATGTACTTCACAGAGTGAAATGTTTGGTGGTGAATAGCTTGAATTATTAGAAAACCCTTCTTTATAGTCACCTAAAATCCACTTTCTTTTAGATTTGTCCTCTGCATTGAGTTTTTAAAACTCTTCCTCTTCTATAATGCTTTGCTTGGTGGTTAAGAATACGAGCTTGAAGCTGGGTGCAGTGGCTTACACCTGTAATTCCAGCTCTTCAGGAGGTCAAGGTAGCAGGATTGCTTGAGGTCAGGAGTTCAAGACCAGCCTGGGAAACA